CCAAAAAAAAAAAAAAAAAGAAGAAGAAGAAGAAGAAAAAGAAGAAGAATGCCTTTTACCTGCCTATTGGTAGCCGTAACATGTTCAGCTGGTATACGAATTTCTAGGGCGGGGACATTTTGTGGGCTTTCACCATTCTTATCTATCTGGGATTGTTCATGTTCCTTCCACAACTTTATTAGTTCTTGCATGCACTCGCCAACTTTATAAACCACAGACGAGACTTCAGGTTTACCTGAAAAAAGGTTTTGCATTTATACAGGCAATAAGATCTAGTAGATATGACATTCTTATCTCAAAAATTTTACTGGCCAATATCAAGAATCAAGCATCAGACACAAAGCACTATCAAGACAAGATGGGTTTCATGAAGCTGCTTTTCCCCCCTTAAAAGATAAATAATGCCATGTTTCTGTTTTTCTCTTTGGAAACAAAGCCATAAATCTGTTTTTTATAATACATAAAATGCACTGAGGTGCAATTATATCTATGAGAAGAGAAGTTGTTTCTTGTTCAAGAAAACATCAAAGAAATGTGTCTAGTTTTTTTTTTTAAAAAAATCCTTAATTCACAAATAGGACCTGTACTTCCATGTCTTATCGTTCCTCAAGAGTTGTTAAGAACTACTCTAAATCGAAAATGCAAGAGCAATAAGTCCAAGTTAAAAAGGTATTTCTACGTCAAACAGATGATAAAGCATGATAAACAAGTAGACTGCAAAGCTTATGGAGAGAGAATGCAAACTAGAATAATATAGTTCGCAAAAGCTATCCAGCACGAGGTAGCATGATTGCAGCAGTCACAGTTGAGAAGAATGTTACACCAAGTGGAACAGAATAATAAGAGAGCATACCTTGTAATCTGCAAGATACAGGAAGAGGATCAGGACGTGGCTCAATAGTCAATCATTCTTAAATTAAAAAAGAAATATTTCTTCGCATGACATTAAGGATAGCAAAAAAGTTTAAAAGCATTTTTCTGAACCAAGATTAGCAGGTACTATGAAGAACATAGGTTAGTCAGCAAGGAAAAATTAAAGCTTAACATAAAATCATACGACATACCCTTCATTATCTTGAGCACGAGACCTAAACCGAGGTTCTCTATTTGCTACTTGAGGGCTTCCCCTTGAACGTTGCATCCTCCTCCGATGCTGAACGCCATAATTATAAACTTCTCTCTCTCTGTCTACAGTCCCTTCAACATCTGCACATCCCTCATCTGACTCTTTTTCATGACATCTACTACGCTTTTCTGGTCGATCCCCTTCAATGTCTGTATCCCTCTCTTTCTTCCTGTCTCTACCCTCTCTATCAGCATTTTTCCAGTTATCAAAATCCTTTAACTTTTTCTGATCTGGAATCGGATTGTCCTGCTCTAACATTCTCGCAGACACTTCACCTGACTCCTTTTCAAGGTGTGAAGTCTCCTTATCCATTCCATTCCATGATTCTCTCTTCTGATGGTCCTTATCCCTTTCACGAGGCCTTTCCTTGTCTTTTGAGGTATCTTTCCGGTCCCTCTCCCACCTTTCTGCATCTCTCTCTTCCTTAGACAAGTCTTTGGGCTCAACATTGTTGCTTGTTGCTTGAGTACTGCTCCTATGATCATTTCTTTCCTTATCTTTATCTCCCCAATCCCGCTGCTTTGTATCTTTCCTTTTCCTGTCCTTCTCCTTAAATTTATCCTCACCTTTTGAATCTATTTTGTTCTCGCCAACAGCCTCCCTTGTTTCAACATAATCTTTCTCATCGGTAGTCGGTGCTTCTTTTACAGCCTCAGCTGCACTCTGTGAACTGGTGCGTGAAACATGCCAGGATTCCGTGCTTCCAACTGGAGCTTCAGGATATCTCTTCCCCCTGTGATAATCTTTTGATTCTTTCCAGTTCAAGTGACCGGCTGCTGATCCATAAATCTCTTTTTCTAACTTCAAGTCGCCCTTGTAATCGTTATAACTATCTCTATCATATTTCATTTCCTTAATATCCTCCAATCTGCTTTCATATCTCATTTCCTTCTCCAACTTCACAGCTTGAGAATCCCTCCTTTCATCACCAAACAGCTCACGAGCCTCCACTCTTGAATCTCGGTTCTCAAACCTGTTATCCCCACCGTCCTTGGAGTCCCGCAGATCCAGCCTGCTTTCCGAAGCAACAGAATGATCTACATGAGGATCATTAGAGGACGAGGGCATTCGAAAAATCGAGTGCAGGGGGGATCTTCTATCTCCATCACGGGATTCAGTGCGGGGTAGCTTCGACATAGGGGTGTCCTGACCCATCTCAAAGGAAGGACGATACTGCATTGGAATTGAAGAAGAGAGCTTGCGATAAGGGCTGGAATCATCGTGGGGATATTTGGAAGATGAAGAGTGCCCCCCATCGTCGTGGGACCTCTTCGGAGCACCACTCATACCGACGAGTCAGTGAGTAATGAAGGTCAGCGGAATTAATCAAACAAACAGCAGCAGCAAAACAAGAACGTTTCTAAAAATCAACCCAGTTGCCCAAATTATCCTGCTTGAGAGTATAAAGATCGAAGCCTTTTCAAAATCCAAACAAATTCCACAAAGAGAATCATCGTAAACAGATAGCAAGCAAATAAGAGACAAAAATAGATTGGAAAAAAAGAAGAAAAGACGTCACCTCGGATTCCAATTGATGCACAAACTGAAAGGGAAAATTAAATCCCTAATGAAGATTTGGCTCGCGGAACATGGAGTGATGCTATTAGGCTTTGCATCGTGGTGGGTGTGTTAGAGTGGGGTGTGTGTTGAAATACGCATAACAAAAAAAAGGGTTGGGAGTGTAGAGAGAAGTGAGGGAAAACGGGGGACTCTGAATTTGTCGACGGTCGATGAAAGTTCAGAGAGACGGCGACACTCACAGCGGCTGAAGATGGGGGACTCTGAATTTGTCGACCGTCGATGCCTTCCAATGACGCAATGATCAACTGCGCGCGTGTTTCTCAGTCGATGGGATGACTATTTTTAACTATAATTTTTTTTTTAAGAAATTAAGATAAATTTTGAAATTCGATTAAAATTTAAATATTTTACTAAACAGAATTGAGTGGAAGTGCAAGAAAATAAATATAATTTAAAAAATAAAAAGAAATGATTATTTTATTAAACTTAGGGGAGGTTTAGAAAGAAAAAGAAAAAGAAAAAGAAAAAGAAAAAGAAAAAGAAAAAAGGCATATTAAACATATAGACTTAGGCACTTAGCCACGAAGGATTAAACTGCATTCGACAATTATTTGGAGTCCGAACCCGTACGAATGATAGGAGTTTAGAAGGGGTTGTTGTCCTCGTTGCGCACAGTTCACTCTCGCGGGTCACTGGCAATCACTAGCTTCGCTTTTCTTTGCTCAATTTCTGGGGACTCACTCGCCAGGCGCCATCCACGCCCATCTTTCTTTCCAATTCCACTTTTCCGGCGTTGGAAGAATCTGCTTCCGGCAACAATTTTCGAGATAATACTGTAATCTCTCTCTCTCTCTCGTGAAATTGCTTAGTTTTTCTCCCATGTCTTTTTGTTTCTTTGTTCCTGTAAACTTCTGTGGTTTCTAGGGCATTTCATCGTTGAAAAGGGTTTCTTCAGAGTCTAGTCTTTTTTTATCAAATTTTGTTCCCCTCTTGTGAAGTTCATTTCTTTGTTTTGGTGTTTAAGATCCTGAGGCGAGAGAGAGCAAAATCTATTATGTAGTGGAAGTTTGTATGTGCTTTTTTCTGAAAATCTATTCCGAGCTGCATGGTTTTCATCGGATCATCTTTGCCTTTTGCTTTGTTTGTTCATTGCTCTACCTCGTTTTAAGGCTCTGTCAACGGATTACCTCTTCGTGTTCATCATAGCCCTGGAAATCTGAATTGCGTTTTGATCCGACACTCATTACTCCAATTTGTTAACTCTAAAACCCTTGTCCCTCTAGCGTTTTATAGCACCAGAACGTGTTCGGGTTTCGGATGTTTTTTGTTCGTTTTTTTAATGTCTGATTTGATATCTGATTCATCTTATCATGGCTGGAGGAGTTATTCTGGAACTTCAGCCAAGGATCGTGTAGTTTCTAATGCGTAATTTGCTGTCACTACTTATATAAATTTTTATCTGATTGAGTTCTTTATATATAATGAACAGGTTGCATAAAAATGAGTTCGACCAGAGGGCGTGGTAAGTCTTTTAATTCTGGCACCAACAATGAGAAGACACCTAAGGCGAGCAATGTTTCTGAAATTTCTACAACACCCCTAGACCATTTGAGTCAGGGTGTAGCGGGCGTTAGCCTGGATTCTGGACACGCAGATGGTGATTGGGAAGTTTATGCCAAAAAGTCTAGGAACAAAGCTGGGACCAATGCAACTAAACAATGGGGTGCCCAGTATTTTAGTCCTAAATTACCAGAGATGGCTCAAACGTCAGGCACACGTAATGGTGGTGGACGAGGAAAGATGTCTAGTAAGAATTGGCAACCTCAATACCCTGATACAAAGAAAATGGGACGGGGGAATGCTTGGTCACAATCCAGGGCTTCGGAGAGCAATTATGTAGCTCCACAATCTGTAATTCGCCCTCCCCTGGAGCATGGCTGGAATTGGCAATCTAGGGCTGGTTCCAGTCAAACTAAGGTCTCGGTAGACGCCCAACATAAAGTTGATTTTATCTCAAACTCATATCCAAGTGACGAGAATGAAGAATCTGACAATGCTGAGGATAATGACAATGATTCTGATGATCTGGAGGATAGTGACGATGATCTCTTAAGTGATGACTTTGATTCTGATGCAAGTCAAAAGAGCTATGAAACACGAAAGAAGATTAGATGGTTTAAGAAATTCTTTGAGATTTTGGATAGTTTGACTGTTGATGAGATTAATGAACCTGCAAGGCAGTGGCATTGTCCAGCATGCCAAGGAGGCCCTGGTGCCATTGACTGGTATCGTGGCCTGCAGCCCTTGATGGCACATGCCAAAACGAAAGGATCTAAAAGGGTGAAGCTGCACAGAGAGCTAGCAGAACTGTTGGATGAGGAGTTGCGGCGTAAAGGAGCATCTATAGTTCCTGCAGGTGAGCTATTTGGTAAATGGAAAGGTCTGAAAGATGAGGAGAAAGATCACGAGATAGTGTGGCCTCCTATGGTTATTATCATGAACACAAAGCTTGAGCAGGATGTAAATGAGAAGGTATGTTTTCAAATCAGCTGCTAGAGAGGACGGATTGGTGAATTATGTTTGTATTTTTGTAATGTATTTGTTATCTTGTACGCATATTTGATATCTGTTAGAGTTGATGGTCATTCATTTTTCACTTTCCTCTTCGGATGATTGCAGTGGATTGGCATGGGAAACCCGGAACTTCTTGATTACTTCAGTCCATATGATCCTAAGAAGGCTCGGCACTCATATGGTCCCCAGGGGCATCGTGGGATGAGTGCTCTGATATTTGAGCCCTCAGCAAGGGGTTATTTAAATGCTGAGCGCCTGCACAAGCATTTCATTGAGCAAGGAACCGATAGAGATGCTTGGGATTCTAGAAGGAGAACTTTGTTTTATCCAGGTGGGAAGCGCCAACTTTATGGTTTTATGGCTATAAAAGATGACCTCGACACTTTTAACCAGCACATGCAAGGTTTCATCCCTCTCTCATCTTTGTTTTGTTGGTCTGTCTAGGAAACTTCGTGCCCTCTAGCATATTTTCCATTTCAAGAATGTGCTATTACGGTTGCAATGTGAACTTTTGTTTTCTTTGTGATCTTGAAAAACATTAAATAGGAAAATCTAAGATGAAGTTTGAAATGAAATCGTACCAAGAGATGGTCGTAGATCAGATTAAGCAAATGAGCGAGGACAACCAGCAGCTTACCTTGTGGAAGTACAGGGTCGTAAAAGAAAGAAGTAAGGCTAAGGCCTACGAAGAATCTTTTGATAAAGTATGCGAAAAGCTTCGGAAGACCACTGAAGAAAACAGAATTGTTAGACAGAGAACCCTAATGCAACACGAAGAGGATAAAGAAGAGGTATGCCTTTTCTACTGAGCTCTTAAAATAGAATTCAGAACAGGGTCGTTCCCCATGTTAATGATAGGCCAACCAGAACATGTTGAGGTAAATCTTCTTCATCCCTCCCCCACTAAAACAAGCATTCACGTAAACACTATCAGAATTCGGAACCCCCGTAATGTGCATATTTTAAAAGACTACCGGCTATTTGCATGTTTGTTCTCATTGACTTCTGATTTTTTTCCTTTCCCTGCTGATGAAGATGCAATTGCAAGAACAATTTTTCAAAGAACAAATGGAGCTATTGCATAAAACAAGGGAAGAAACAGAAGAGAATTTTGAAAGATTGCAGCAGGAGAAACGCGAGAAGGTGAAGAAACAAACGAATGCAAGCCATTCGACTACAGATGAATATAGAAGCAGGTAATAGAGAGATTATCTGTGGCAAGTGATTCACACAATCCTGAATATTGGGAAAGCTATGCTATGACCAAGAGAAAAAACTGTAGCAAGTTTGTTTAATTGATTAGTGTTTTCCTTGTTCTGCTCAGGGCGGAGGAGGTTGCGAAGTTTATAAAGTTTCAAGAGAAGGAGATGGAAGATTTTGTAGCAGAAAGGGAGGAGCTGATAAAAGTTCATGAAGAAAAGATGGCAGCAATGAAACGGAGACATTGGGACGAAGAAGTGGAGGTGGAGAAAGAGTTCAATGCGGAACTAACTCGGCTGATGGAGAAGTATTCCCCTCAAAATTCTAAAGATGCAGCAGAAGTGCGAGGGTATGGTGAAGTGAAGGTAAGGTAAGGAAGTGGTTTGCTTACAGGGGTGATAATAGAGAGAGTAAGTAGTCTGCAACTAGAACAGTATCTACTAGGGAGAGTTGCGAGATCCATTTTCCTCTCCTTACTACTTTTCTTAAAGCTTTTCTCATATCAGTATGAGATGGATAGATTACCAAAAACACTTAAACCCCTGGCGTTTTGGTTCATCTTCTACCGTGGTATCCTGCATATGCTAATAGCGTAGAAGTATGTTGGTGGACATTTGATTTGAATATTTTTGGAAACGCTCGTGTGATGTTAGATGCAAACATGGGTTTTTTATTCGAAAATTATTTTCTACAATATCTTTTTTAACCACTTATAGAAGAATAAATCACAAAAGTAGAATTTCTGAAGTTTTATTAGTTATTTTTCAACCTTGAAATAAAGCTGAGTCTTTAACTTATATATATTTAAATTAATTTAAAATAGACTTGTTTTTTACTTTTAAATTTGTAACAATTTATTAATATTAAACTTTCAATAAATTTAGCCCATATGCTTAAAATCTATTATAATTTAATCCCTATTATTGCTATGATTTAAGAAGTTTTGTTATAAGCAAATAAATTGATGAACTAAGAACCAAATGTATTTGTAAATTATAAAATAATTAACGCTTGATTTTTGATAGAGTAAAAAATTGTTTAATCAAAGAGATTAAATGGTTAACACGTTTTAAATTACTTTTGGACGGAAGATTTTCAGCTTCGTCTGAGGTTGCGGAGAGCGTTTTTCTCATAAATAAATGTTCATGGATTCGTCCTCCGAGTAGATGAATTGGTTTTGGGCAATTTGGAAAAGGGAGCGATAATCTTACAGATTCGGAGATGGAGAAGATAAAGACACAATTGGAGAAGCATAATGATGATGATCGGAAGGTTGCGTCCGCCATCGATGGTCTTCCTCTCAGATTTTATGAACACTTTGTCATGGCTGGTCTTCGCGTTGATCTGATCGAACCTGGTCGCATCGTTTGCACTCTCAAAGTCCCTGCTCGTTTGCTTGTATGCTTTTCTCCTTCTTCTTCTACTACTACCTGTTTTTGCTAATTTCGATTTCATCCACCACTCCTGTTCGATCCACTTGCTTGTGAGATCTGTGGACGCAGTTCTGTCGGGCTATTTACTCTTTTTAATTAGGATTTCTCTGCTTACTGTTTGACGTTTCATTTGCAAGAACAATAATAATTCCTTGCACGGAGGAGCCTCGGCGTCACTTGTGGATTGCATTGGTTCAGCAGCGATAGCTACTATGGGCTCTACCACCACCGGAGTCTCCCTCGAAATTAGCCTCTCCTACTTGGATGCTGCTTATCTCGACGTGAGTTCCATTTCCCCCTTCTCCACCTCTCAATTTACCATTTCTGTTGATCACATTACGCGGTCTCTATAACTTTTCTATCTAATAGCAGACACGGAAATTGAGTTACTGTACAGCTCCGATATAATGCACTACACTCATCTTTTTTCTAGAATTATAAATAAAGTGTAAAGATCCCCTCTCCCCTCACTGTCACTGGAAAAAAGGAAAAGATAATAACTTAAAAGGATAAATTGGCTGTAAGGTTGGCTCTTGGCCAAGCTCTTCTCTTGGTTTACCATTAAATGGGAAGCCAAAGACTGTCATTCTGGGACCCCATTATGGAGATAGTGGCTAAAAGGCTCCTTGCTTGGAAGAGTTCTTTAAGCTACTTTATCAATCCTTCCTGTTTATTATATGTCCTTATTCCCTATGCCTTCGAAGGTTGTCCAAACTATGAGAGACCTTGTAGAACCTTTCTTTGAAAAGGCAAGAATGAAAATCTGGGCTTCACTGTTGTTAAATCAAAAAATGTACTCCAATTGAAGATGGCGGTATTGGGCTGAATAGTATCAAGATGAAGAGCAAAGCCTTCCTTGACGAATGGGTTTTAGTATGAGATCATTGGTGAAAAACCTCTCCTGTAAAAGGAACATTGAGCCTCCAAACCTCTATAAACCTCTCCTAAAACGGAGCTTAGCCATAAAGTCCAAGGTAGGATGCCAAGGCCTACCCTTTGTTTGGAAAACACAATTCTGAATCACAAGGCCTACCCTTTGTTTCTTATCCACCCCACAAAAAAAAACTTGATTTCCATTGTTTGTTTTCTCGTAGAACACAATTCTTGGGGCAAATAACTGAAGAAATGGATTAGGTTTGAAAGTTTAGAACATATGACATGAGGAATTTACATGAAAGGTATATGTATATTCAGTTGAAATAAAACTTAACTTCACACTTAGATATCAGTTTGATTCCAAAACACTAAAACGCAAATGAATGGAGAATATTTATAGAACATATGACATGAGGAATTTACATGAAAGGTATATGTATATTCAGTTGAAATAAAACTTAACTTCACACTTAGAAATCAGTTTGATTCCACAACACTAAAACGCAAATGAATGGAGAATATTTATAGAACATATGACATGAGGAATTTACATGAAAGGTATATGTATATTCAGTTGAAATAAAACTTAACTCCACACTTAGATATCAGTTTGATTCCAAAACACTAAAACGCAAATGAATGGAGAATATTTATAGATTATTGGGTTAAACAGTTCAAGCTATTCTTGAGACTGGAAGGTTATGTTATGGAATCAAGACCATAATTCTTCCATGTGAATATCTTAGTACGAAAAAGTTTGTTTTTGAGAATTAAGTTTATAAACACTACTTTCTCGTCTTTGGGTTTATTTCTGTGTGCTGTTTTTAGGAGGAAATCGAGATCGAGAGCAAGGTATTGCGAATGGGAAGGAGTATTGCAGTGGTTAATGTTGGATTGAGGAGAAAAGACAATGGTAAAATCATTGTTGAAGGCCGCCACACCAAGTACCTTGCCATCTCAAGCAAGTTGTAGTTACGAACTTCTTGAATATCAACATTTTAGTCTGCGTTATGCATCGATGTATTACGTTTTGTAGCTTCAACAAAAAGAAATGTGATGACAATAATAATTCCTTCTATGACTTTGCTGCTTTATCATGTTCTTATATTCTGTTATTGCTGGAATAATGTCCTTTGAGTGTCCATTTAAGTATTAATTTCATTTGTGGTTTGGGATGCTAAAATGTGATGCTAAAAGTAGAATAAAAAACACCCCATAAAAAATAGAGAAAATGGAGGGCCAGAAATAGAATGGCGGTGAGTTTTTAGAACTTAAAAATAATGTTTTTTTTGTTCAACTTGATAAATGCAGATCTGAAAAGTCTCCTCCGTAATCTCAGAGTTTCTGATTCCGCACTACTTTACCATCAAACATGAACTTATACCAACAATGGCTAAACATCCGACAGGATAAACTCATTCGGAAAAATTGTCACAGAAATGGATACGTCAAAGAGATCCATAGAGAAGCATAGTGATGATGATCCGAAGGTTGCGTCCGCCATCGATGGCCTTCCTTTCAAATTTTACCAATACTTTGTGGTGGCTGGTCTTCGCGTCGATCTCATCCAACCTGGTCGCATCGTCTGCTCTCTCAAACTCCCTGCTCGTTTGCTAGTATGCTTTTTCTATTCTTCTTCTTCTTCTTCTTAATCCACCGCTCTTCTGTTCGTTCCACCTGCTGATGAGATTTCTACACGCTATTCTGTCTATTCCCTTATTTATTTAGGATTTCTCTGTTTTCTGCTTCATGTTTCCTAATTAAGAACCAGAATAATTCCTTGCACGGCGGAGCCTCGGCGTCACTCGTGGATTGTATTGGTGCCGCAGCGATCAAGACTTTGGGCTCTACCACCACTGGAGTCTCCCTCGATATGAACCTCTCCTACTTCGATACTGCTCATCTCGGCGTCAGTTCCACTTTCCCCTTTTTCTACTCCTCAATTTTCCATTTCTGTCGATCTGGTTACCGATAAGGAAATTCAAATTATTGCTTCATCTATTGTTATTGCATTTAGTCATTTCTTTGTATCCTTCCCATTGATGATCCCATTCTCATAGAGTATGTATGCTACTTTTTGTCTGCTGTTCTAGGAGGAAATCGAGATTGACGGCATGGTTTTGCGAATGGGAGAGACCATTGCAGTAGCCAATGTTGAATTGAGGAAGAAAAACACTGGTAAAATTATTGCTCAAGCTCGCCTCACCACATACCTTGCCATCTCAAGCAAGTTGTAGTAACAAAATTTATTGGCTTAATATAATAGTCATGTAAATACTTTAGAGCTTAAAGGAAATTGACCTAAGAATCAAATATCATGCGAGTTTTCCACTGCTTCAATGCGTTGTTCTTGCATATTACATTTTGTAGCTTCAACTAAAACAAGTTCAATGATGATAATCATTTCTAGTCTTTGTTGTTGAGTTCATTCTAATCTGTAATTGCTGAAACAACTTACTCTGATGTGTTCCATTTTAAATATTCTGTTTCTCAGATAAGAACAGCATGGAAGAAAGGGCGTCTTAGTTTTTCTTTTGTTGAAAAGTTTATGGAACCATAAGTAGGATCAAAGCTTTTGTTCAAAGGATTCCCAGATACACACAAGTATTATATAGGCATCTCAGGTAGGATTATCAATAGATTGGTTGTTGGCACTTGTTGACAAGCCGAGAGCATCTCCTAAATTCATCGGCCCTCTCATCGTCCGCCTTCCAATTCCACCGTTGCCTTTTCTCATCATCGCTGCGAATTCCCCATAGTCTATACGTCCATCCTACATAAAACCCAAACAGAACCAAAGAAGTTTTGTCAAGTACATATAAACAGAGACAGTTAATGGACATTTCAACAGATAGCATGGGAGAAAGGAAAGAGTAACTAACATTGTCTTCATCGATCTCACTGATCATGTCGTCTAGACGAACATCACTCAAGCCAAACTCGTTGCAGGCTTGCTGAAGCTCATCAATGGTTATGAAACCACTACCATCCTTGTCAAAATATGAGAAGGCCAATAGTAAATTCTCTTCCCGCTCTAGCTTATTCAAGTGAATTGTAGCTGCAAGGAATTCACCATAGTCGATTGTTCCATTGTTGTCTATGTCTGCCTGTCAAAACATCATCAGCTTCTATGACAACACGCAACCACAAAAGTAAGCATGCATAAATAGAAGAAAGTTTTACTCCTTACTGCATCCATTAGATCCTTAATCTCAGACTCCATAAGTTCGGAGCCTACACGTTTTAAGCCTTCCTTTAGTTCGTCAAACGTTATCGTCCCGCTGTTGTCTGTGTCTATCATCTTGAACAACTCCTTCAGACCCCCAATTTCTTCTTCAGAAAGCCTTTCAGCAATTACCTACAATCAATCATAAGATTTCAGAGTTCAGACACCATCAACTTTTGGATGGTGCAGTAACCAATTGAGTTAAATCGAGCATATTCTAAAACTTACTCTTAGAGCCATTTTTTTAAGCTTATTCATAGCAGAGAACAGCTTCAGACGTGATAATACTGCCGAGTCAAGAGGTTTATCTGGGGCAACTTTGTCATCTACAATCCATGGATGACCTGATACAGAAAGGATTTGGAATCAGTTCTCTTAGAATAAAAATACCATACAACATATCACCCCTACTGGCTAGTCATATTGCTCAATGCTAGGAACTGAAACCTACAGAGGACTTCATGAGCAGTTAGCCTTCTCTTCGGATTTCTGTCGAGCATTTTTCGTATAAGATCCTTTGCACTTCCTGAGATACCAGGCCATGGCTCCGACTCAAAATCCAATCGTCCTTGTAGTATCTGTCGGAAGATCCCTATTTCAGTTTCTGTATTACAAGAATTAAGGAAATTATGGGTAATGGAACTCTATTGAAAGTGTTACTTCCCAGAACTTTGCAGGAAATGTGATTTATGGATTTGTAGTAGCTACCTGCGCAAAATGGAGGTACCCCACTTAATAGAATATATAAGATAACTCCTGCACTCCAAACATCAGCTTTGGGTCCATAATGCTTGCGTAGCACATCTGGTGCAACATAGTATGGACTACCGACAACATCAGAAAAAGTCTCCCCTGTAAGCATTTGAAAATTTAAGATCACCGAAAACTCTAAAAGTGAAACGGAGATAATAACCAACACAACACTAATTAATCAACCAAGAAGTTATTCATTGGGTACTGATACAAATCTTTCTGTCATAAAAGGATTAGTATTCTTCAGGCATAAACCAAGTTCTAAGTAGAAGATGTCAGAAACAAGAAAGGAAACCTGCGCATGATAATTAAGACGATCATTTAAAATCATAGCAGAAAGAAGAGACCTCTATCTTGGCAATAGCTATTGATTTTTGTAGAGAAAACGAAGGAAAATGGTCAATGTAGAACAGATCAATGGCGACATCCAAACCCCAGATGTCATGAAACCTAGAACACTAATTTCAAATATGAGATTCAGTTGAGGCACCAAAAGAGTGAGTTCCCAAACCCCAATAAGGCAACCAATAGCTAAATAAATAGATGAAGGAAAATGGAGGAAGAGACGGAGATTTTGAAGAAGAAAAGGAACCCAAAAGGCAACCTGGCTTGTAGAAGACAGAGAGCCCAAAATCAGTGGCCATAAGAGCAGCATCCTCATCCACACTTTGAAACAGAAAGTTTTCAGGTTTAAGGTCTCTATGCATGACTCCAAGCGAATGACAAGACTCTAAAACACTGACAATGACCCCAATAAGCTTGGCGGCCTCTCTCTCACTGTAATGCCCCTTCCGAACGATCCTATCAAAGAGCTCCCCACCCGCACAAAGCTCCATAACCAAATGAACAGAGACCGGATCCTCATAAGTACCCTTGATTCTGACGATGTTGGGATGTTCAGACAAATGGTGCATTATCTGAATTTCCCTCCAAACATCGTCGTAGTCCTCTTTGCACAGAAGCTTCCGCTTAGGGATGGTCTTACAGGCGTAATTGTACCCAGTTTTCTTGTCAGTGCAAAGAAAAGTGGTGCCAAATTGACCTTGGCCGAGCTTTTTGCCGAGGGTGTAGAAATCGGTGAGGGGTTCGGTCCGATAAGGGAGGACCCATGATGGTTTTGACGATGGGGGTGGAGTTGCAGAGCTTGATTTACTCATGAATGGCGGTCGCCTTTGAGAAAATGGGCAAAACGGTGGGACCCAAAACAACGAGAAGCAGATTCCTGGACCAGAGCAGAACAACCCAGACCTCCCTCCCTCTCTTCTTCCTCTCTCCCTTGTTGAAGTTAAATAAGGCTTAAAACAGGCAGCCTTTTGGCCTAAGATTCTGTGCAAGTTACTTCATTTTCTCTCTGTAAATACTACAAATTCTTTCATTCATGTGGGTATTGCAGTGCTGAAAAGTAAAGTTGCAAAAGAAAACCAGTGCTTCCTATTGGTTTACAAAAGCAGTAGGTTGGTGGGCTTCCTCTGGCCCCATCTCTTTACTTTGGTGTTCACCTCAGCTTTCATCCATGTTTTCTAATAAGAACTTTTGGATTTACGCGTGGGCTTTTTAGCCGTTACAGTTCATAAATGATCAACACTACGATTTTGTCGAAGAAATTGGACACTGCTCTGCATAGTCAAACGTCAAAACCAGCCGCCCTCCTTCTCCAGCCCACAATATAAATATCAAACCTTTCAATAATTTTTTACTGTAAGGAATGTGTCAGAGCTGAAGATGCCCACATCTTATTATTATTAAAAAAAAATAATAATAATTGCGTAACAACGTACATTTGGACCCGAATATCAGGTGGTTTGAAAACATATTATCCCTCAATTTTAGTATACAACAATTTAATATTTGTAATAGACAATGATTTAATCCTCGTTGTAAATTTGCTTTTTTGTTAAAAGTGTAATTACAAGTATACAACAATTTTTGTTTGTCATTGTTATGAGTAGAATTGAGTTGGTTTTGGAAGATAGCATTCAAACTCAAGAACAAAGAAAAAGAGTTACGAGCATATAATTTTTTTCCTATTAGCATTAGAGAAAGATTCTGAACAATTCTCATGAATGACTCGAAGGCTGAAGATGACTGAAGAAGTTTCCATTGGAGCTCAACCGGACACAACTCCAAATGAGCTCAAATTAGGGTCAAGAGAAAGATGTTCCTTTTGCATCAAGATATCTCTGTAAGCTTCTTCATCCTCACGTCCTCAAAGGCTAATGGCATTGCCTTCGTAACGCGTTTAGTAGGTAGATTTCAGTATTTTCCATGATTCAAAAGCTTTATATTTTATGGAAAATTTGTTCTCATAGTTGATCTCACTCAAGTAGGAAGAAATACGAAGAAAGAAAAGAAGAGATAGTTCAAGCTGAACCTACGTACTTTCAAGAACATACATCGATAGCAAACCATAAAAGTTACAGAAACTCGAAAGTAAAAAGTAATGAAACCGAAAAAGTTGGTTATGCTATGTACTCATAGTATTGGATGTAAAGATGAATGCATGATAGAATATGCATAGGCTTTATATGATATGAATGCACCAAAAGAAAAGAATATGGTATATCTATCTTAATTCCAAGCGCAGAGGTTTGGGTGTGATGACGGAAGAGTAGAGGGCACAAAGAATCGAGATGCAGCAGATGCCCCAAATACTATATGCATTTCGTTATCTGTGCACTCTATCTTCTGTCAACACAACTCACCATTGCCTCCTCTACTACTTGTACTTTGTATATATGCATGCACATACTAACTAACCCATGCACAGCTAATGATATGTACGGGGAGGAAGCAACCCAAACGCTTTATGATCACTTCTACTTGGTCACCTCCTCAATTTATAACGCAAACAACTACCTCTTTTCACCTCTTACTTATTAACAATGGAAAGAAACAAGCATTTTGAGCTATGAGCAATAGGGTTGGCAGGCTTTCTATATTTGGTTTAAAACAAAAAAATGGGAGCTAACATAAGTAAATCCGGTTGTTTTTTTATCCATTCTTGTGGATTTTCCTCCTCAGGGAATATTTTCTGATAAAAGGCTTGGGTTCCATTTCACACTCCTTTCCTTTCACATTTTACCCTGCTTTTTGTTCTTAACAAATTATGTTTTACATTGATTCAACTATATTTTTGTTGGTGTAGTTTGTGTACGCAACCCCAAAATAAGGGTGAAGATCACGTAAATGGCGGAAAGCAAGAATATTAAGCAACTTCCCTCTCCCATTTCTTCAAAACCTTTGATATTCATCATCACATCCCCCTCAAACGAGAGGGGAGTTTGAGTATCTCAAGTCCGTGGTCTCGAGTAACGAACCTCCACAACGGTATGATATTGTCCACTTTGACTTTTTGTTTCCCCAAAAGGCCTCTACTAATGGAGATATTATTCCTTACTTCTAAACTCATGATTTTCCCTTCAGTTAGCCAACCTGGGACTCTTCTCCCAACAATCCCCCCTTCGAACAAAGTACACCCTTTGTTCAACACTCGAGTCACTTTTGACTATATTTTCGAGGCAAACAACTTTTTTGTTTGGCACTTGAGAGGATTCTATTGACCTAACTAAGTTAAGACATGACTCTGATACTACGTTCGGAATCACAAATCTCCTCGATAGTATGACATTGACCACTTTGAGTATAAACTCTCGTGAGTTTGCTTTTTATTTCCCCAGAATGTCTCATATCAATGGAGATAGTATTCCTTACTTATACCAACGTAGGACTCATCTTCCAACAATCCTCAACATTTAGTGGTAGCATAGGCTAGCACCTTGCATTCAGGGTTCGTGCTTGATCAAGCAACGAGTAGTTTGCCTTTTGGGTGATAATGCGACCAGATAATTTCCATTCAAGCATTTGATGGAGCGTCAACCATGCTAAGAACATACTAAAAAGATAAGTGGGTTGATTTGTGGGAATAATAGTCCTTACTCTTGGAAACGAGAATTAAGTAACGTGACCATATCTTTGAGGATTTACGGAGAATGCTGAGGCTATCAAAAGTCAAATATGGATTTTGAATCCTAATTCGAATTCTTAAGAGGGATGGTAAACTTTATATTGTAATTTTATTTAGTAAGAAGGGAAGAAAGGAATAAAGTGTTGGGGTTTGTAACGATGGGATGGTGAGGTTGAGAGTTAGGAATAAGAAAAATAGGTTGAGGTTGAGAGTTGTGGGAGGGAATGTGAAGTTGCAGTAGATTTGAGATTGTCCAACAGCTTTGAAACACCATTATGGCTAATTTGACGTTTTCTGAGGGTTACCCAAAATACTAATATGATTTGGAGGTAAACAAGTGAAAGCTTTGACATGTGTTCATCTGTGTTGGGTTTGTTTGCGCTTTAAACATCCTCAACTCCAAGCCTACTTGCATTCGGAATCTCCACATGAAAAGCTAGGATTCTCCGACGGCAGCTTTTTTGTTTGTAATGATGTCAATTTTTCACACTGACTTATCCTTCATCTGATGAAAGCTGAGTATCCTCAAGAAGAAGAGAATTTTTGAGATAAAAAGCCTTTTGTTGGTGGATTTTGTGTACGCAACCCCAAAATAAGGGTGTTGACGTGAAGGGAGGAATGAAGCAATACTCTTCCCTTTTGTCCAACAGCTTTAAGACACCACCATGCCTGATTTCACGTTCTCTGAGGCTTACCTTAAATACTCCTCTGATTTGGAGCTGTGATGGGGTGAGAATGTCTTGAAAACCTGGAGAACTCTGTGTTTCCAGGTTTTCTATGTTGTTTGCTAACTAACCTTTCACATGTCTTTAACTGTGTTCGGTTTCTTTAGGCTTTACCTATCAACTCTATTTAGTTACACATGGGTTGTACTTGGCCTCCAACCCCACTTGCATATGGAATCTCCGTATGTAAGCTTCAGACTAACTCATCCTTTATCACCTCCCCTAAACAAGCATATTTTAGGAGAGACTTTTATGCCTTTAAAGGACTAGAGTCGTTCGATTGAGATGTGATCGATAATCTAAATAGAGATTTGCCGGATAATCCAAATACTACTTTGAAACACTAAATAGTTGTTGCCAAAATTCAAACAGGGTAATGGAGAGCATGACTTTCACGTGACTACAACACTAAAATGAAACTAGCTCTAATACTTGGAATGTATAGTTTAAGTGTAGGAAGGGAGTGGATTGTGAGATCCCACGTCAATTAGGGAAAGGAACGAAACATTCCTTATAAGAGCGGTCAAAACCTCTCCTTAGTAGACGCATTTTAGAACTGTGAGGCTGACGACGATACGTAACAATAATATTAAAGCTTTGGAAGACTAGAGCCTTACCCATAAAGCCTTACCCATAAAGCCTTACCCATAGGAGTTTATTGGATAATTTTAAGCAGAACCAAAATGTTAGTCCCACAAAAGTTGTAACCAAACAAATATGAACATATGATGATGCCAGCAGGCGCCACACAGTAGCCGGTCATATTAGCATTGGATGTTTTAACTTGGAATCCGGAAATTTCTTCGAGCTGTGACAGTTGTTTCTCTCCACTCAAAACCTGCAGGAAACAAGAATTGCATGATAAAAATAGAAGCAAAACAGCCTAACAGAAAGCAAAGGGAATATGTAGCTATGGGTAAGACACGTTCATACAACTTTTACACCACAACGCAAGTTCCAGAGAATGATGGGTACTGAAAAAGAAGAGCCAACCTAGATCCAGCGGATAAAGAGATATATCCCACCAAACGAAGGACAAGGGCCTTTTATTTTTGTACACCTACTTGAGGAAGTCTTCCATGTGGAGAAGAACCCCGAGTAAAATAGGGATGAAAAAAGACATGTAGTCATGTGTATAAGACCTCACAATCCAAACCTTCTCGTGAACACTCTAATCGAGACATTTAAATCATTATGTGAAAAAACTAAGTTACTATCAATATTTGTCAACGATGTTGTAACGAATGCTCAAATTTGATGAAGTTGACACCTATGTGCATTAAAAACACCATCTTTTAGTAGGTTCGTTCTCGGGCCATTAAAAACAGGTAGTCATGCGTATAAGATCTTACCATCGAAACCCCCTCGAGAAAATCTTAATTGAGACATTTAAATCATACGCGAAAAAACTAAGTTACTGTTGCTAGTTTTTAAAATGTTTAAATTTGATAATCCACCCTTGAATAGTTTCATTTAGGGGCCATTTCCTAGTCATTTTCGGTAGGGTTTCCATTGACAACTTTTTCCACTTTTTTAAGCGAGGGTCATTTGAACGTTCAGAAAAGTTATTTTCTCGTTATTGTCTCTTACTATGCTCATTAGAGATTGTACTAAGAGTAAAAGAATGAAAAAAACATTACTATGCTCATTATAGTTTCATTTTCGGGTCATTTTCGAATCATATGTTGAGTAAAACAACCCCCATAAATTTGCATCTAACTGAACTTGAAGCTCTTCATGAATCAAGATCACTCTCCAAAATCGATTTCAGCTCTTCCCATTTTTCGTACCCAAACAAATCAGTGGCATCCTCATCAAAATCCGAGAAGCTCGACGACGAGGGTGATACGTTTGTCGGTGAATTATGATCGGCGGATGATGGCTGATCAGTTGGGCCACAAAAATGAGTCATGAATCGGCCACCGTGCACCATCTGAATCTGAGGAGAACTTTGAACCTCCTTCACATGATCAAAGCTAATGAAGGAATTATGAGAGGCGAATCCGATGTAGCTACTTTCTTGGCTGTCACTCAAACATCTGTCGATATTGATATCATTGGTGGTTGCTCTGAAGTTCATGATCTCCATTGATTGACTTTTGGGCGCTGGAATCTCCCTCCAATTGTGTGTACTGATGCCTTTTCTGGTGGAGATGTTTCTTTTGAATATGCGACACAAAGTCCAAATTTCCTGCGAAGAACAGAAAAAAATAAGTTTTTGACACACACCCTCTTCTTTAATTAGGTCAAAGTTACAAACTTGGTGGTCAAAGTTTTAAAATTTTGTTACTAACAGCTTCTTGGAGGCTGTTTTTAATCATTGTACCGAAGGGATGGCGGGAGGTAGTAGTAGAAGAAGAAGAAGGAAGACGAAATTCATTCATCATCCACTCGGTTTTAGTGCCTTTACCGGCGCTTCCACGGTAATAAACAAGCGTCTTCTTCAACCCAATGCACCCATGGTGGGTGTGCCCATAAATAGGCTTATCAATTCCAGTGGCCTTCCAAAACCCTGACTCGGTCACCCTATTTGGCCTCCCACTGTTCTTATACTTCCTCCCTCGTTTGCAGAAAAAATACCACTCTTTCTCCCCCACCGCGTTACTCGCATCTGCATTACAAACCAACTGGGTCTATAAATTTAGGAAGCTATTAGATACACGAAAAATAGAGATAGATGAATTGGTTAAGAATCGTACGGGGAAGATCCCATGGGCTGTGTTTGTAAATGTCGATTTGTTTGATGAGTTCGATGGCGAGAGGCTTGTTGTGGACTTTGCGACGGAGGTAGAAGTCGACGAGCTCTTCGTCCGTCGGGTGGAAGCGGAAGCCCGGAAGGGGGAACTGGTCGTCGTCCGGCACGTCGAATTGTGAGGGAGTGGCCATTGGAAGAGTTTGAAGTTTATGGGAATTAAGTTATGAGAGTTGGGGGAAGAGCATGGTTTAATTTATAAGGTAGAGCTTAAAAGGGGAGATGGGGAACGTTGAAGATCAAGTCATGGGGCTCTCAAGTACACCAATTTGGACTTGTTAAAACCAAGAAAGAGAGGCTTAAAACTCAATATATATCTAAAATTCATGGTGTATAATACTAACCATTGTTTTTTTTTTTTTTCTTTTTTGTTCTTTGTTCTTTGTAAACCCTTTTCATATTGTGTGATGTAAAGTTAAAATTTCATTTATTTGGGTACAAAATTCAATGTGTATGGTCCCATCCATCAGGAGCTTTGTCTTCCTTGACTTTGAAAATCGAGCTATCCATCAGGAGCTCCATTTTTTGACTTTCAAAACTTCAAAATTAACTCTTTCCCAACTTCTACCTTCTAATTCAACCATAACTCTTCCATCGGTTATCAAGGAAGGTATGATAATCAAAGTCTACCACTAGTAGATATTGTCTATTTTTGCTTATTACGTATCACCGTCGACCTCACGTTTTCAAACATGTCTACTAGGGAGAGGTTTTCACATGTTTATAAGAAATGTTTCGTTTCTTTCTCCAACTGATGGAAGATCTCATAATCCACTCCATTGGAGTCAACGCCCTTGCTTGCACCGTCCGATGATTGACTTTGATACGTAATAGGTCAAAGCAAACAATATTTAATATAGTGGGTTTGGGGTACTTTTTTTGATCTCTTATAAACCCAAGTATAATCTAAACTAGCGTAAAGAATCTAAATTTTATAATTATTTATTTCCTAAAAAACCTAAACCAAAGTTTGATTCTAAAACTGAAATAATAAAAAATTGAAGAAGATGATAAAAATATTTGGAAAAATCTTTTTTGAGATATTTTTCTGACCAGCCTATAAGTTTGAAATAAAAGCATTTGAATTTTGAATGAAATTAAAAATAAAAATATTGATTAATTAGTAGTGTAGATAATCTAGGATGGAAACAAGCATATTACATCACTTCTAATCAAGTTCCACAATTTTCAAACTATTGATAATAATATAATTAAATTTAATTAATTAAAAAAGAAGCAATAAATTGGCATAAATGACATTCAGAAAAATTCATGTTGCCAAGTCAAACATTATTCAAATGTGTTGACCATACCCCATCCAAGATAATATGTTTATTATGATCACCTATAATGTATGCTTTGACTGTACCACCACACCCTATCCAACTCATAGGGCCTCCAAATGTTGTCGATTTTTTTTTTATTTCGTCAACCATTGACCAAACCCTTTTGTATATGTGGAACTTCAATTCATTTACATACTTCATATTATTTACAATCATATGCATCGCCCTAGTTTGATAACCCTCTTAAATCACTCATCAATTCAAAAGTTTTTACTAATTTAATTATACCAACCAACTAATTTACCTCTTACCCACTTTAAAATATGAGATCTCACATTGGTTGGGGAGAGGAAGGAAACATTCCTTAGAAGGGTGTGGAAACCTCTCTCTAGTAAACGCGTTTTAAAATTGTGAGGTTGACAGCGATACGTAGCAGGCTAAATGGAATAAATATCTGGCTAGCGGCGAACTTGGGCTATTACAAATGGTATCAGAGCCAGATATCGGGCGGTGTGTTAATGAGGATGTTGGCCCCTAAGGAGGGTGGATCTGAGATCACGCATTGGTTGGAGAGGGGAATGAAGCATTCCTTATAAGAGTGTGGAAACCTCTCCCAAAGAGACACATTTTAAAACCAGATATGAGATCCGACATTGAACATTTTTTTATAAGAGTGTAGAAATCTCTTTCCAATATACGCATTTTGAAATCGTGGGGCTGACGACAATATGCAACAAGCTAAAGCAGATGATATTACTTGTTGTTTATTCATGGAAGCAAATGGGTGTACCAAAAATTGACCAAATGGTAAATCTTGTCTTGAGTGATTATAAGTAGATTGTAACGCGATTGGGCGGCAGGGTTTTATATATATTCCGTTGGATTGTTCTTGAATCAAACTTAAATGTCAGGAAAGTGTCGAGATTTATGAAACATAGTCGATTAAACTAAGGTTTTAATTAATTTAGTATATACGTTAATGTTTTTGTTTGGATTGGTCGAATGAAATGGGGATGTACTAAATTGTTCCATATTATCCAATAAACCAAGCAAATTCCCATGAGCAAAAACAGCAAAAACTCATGAATATTCCATAGAAGTAGTGGATGTGTGTTATTTACATATAACTAAATTGAAGGGTTATTGAAAAAAGGATCAAAAGCAAAGTCCACAATGGATCTGAGTTCCTCCCAATCTTCCTCAAAGTTCGAGAACTCCGATGAAGCTGGAGATTGGTTTACCACTTCAGCTGGTCCTTCTTTTGTTTCATCACAAACCAACACTGCCTTCTTCTCTTCAAACCCATTAAACGAATTACACCCAAAACTTATATAAGTTTCTCTTCCATCTTCATCATAATATTGATCACCCACACTATTACTGCATCTTTTGGTCTTCATGACTTCTTTCCAATTAGGTGTGTATCTTCGACACGTAACACTCCGTTTGAATATACGACATAGCGTCCAAATCTCCTGTACCCTTCAAAATAAACTATTCAATATACCATAATCTATCGGCTTAAGCTTTTAAGCTTTTGAATTGAATGGTACTTAATTTTTTTTTCCTTACCGCTTCTTGATCACCGTTGTTTATGGTTTCGGGGAGGTGGGAATTATGGGAATTGTGGGAATTGGAGCAATTGCTTGGAGGAAGACGAAACTCATGCATCATCCATTCAGTTTTGACGCCTCTTCCAGCACTTCCCTTGTAAAAAACCAGGGTTTTCTTCAGACCAATGCACCCCTTTCCTTGTTCTCCTTGTGAATAAATTGGCTTGTCAATGCCCGTCGCCTTCCAAAACCCCGCCCCCGTTACCCTATTCGGTCTCACACTGTTCTTGTACTTCCTCCCTCTCTTGACGAACACGTACCACTCTTTCTCTCCGCTCGTCCCACCGATATCTGCAAATTTGCAATACGTCAGAATATCTTTTATTTGAACTAAATTTACCGTAATCTATCAACTTACAAGGAAGATCCCAAGGGTTACCGTAATCTATCAACTTACAAGGAAGATCCCAAGGGTTGTATCGGTAAATATCAATCTGTTTGATGAGTTCGAGGGTAACGGATTTGTTGTGGACCTTCCGACGGAGGTAGTAATCGACGAGCTCTTCATCGGTGGGATGGAAGCGGAATCCAGGAAGGGGGAATTGGTAATCGTCCATGTCGAAAGCAGCAGTAGCAGCAGCCGCCATGATCAAATTGAAGAACAAGAAAAAGGAGAAGAAGATATAGAAAGAAAATTAAGAGTGGTTTAGTTGTGAGTTATGGAAGAAGAAGAAGAGGTTGGGTGTTTGATTTATAGAGTGAAAAGATTCACGAATTTGGAAAGGTCAAGTCTCTGGGTTTGACTTGGATGGTCTGTGACGAAACAAAAGACTTGACTTTTTAAAACCAACAATATTGGGCCACAAATTTGTCATCATCTAACCTCTTTTGAGTGTCACCTTATGTCTTCTCCATCTAGACTTCTAACATACACATTAAACCAATTCAAAACTAGGAGCAATTCCTCCATTCTCCTCTCGAACATCAACCTTTCAATCCTATAATACGAATTTTAAAACGGTTGTGAACAACATAGTTCAAATTATCTAAGATAAACTTAAGTCAAGTTTCATTAAAATTAAACTCAAATTACGATTAGTGTCACGTTAGAAGGAATCAACCTCATTTATTCTTAAATTATTACAAATTCTCGATGGATGATTGATATCTAGGTTTATGGTGTTTCATTAGTTTACTTTTAAGTAAGTTCCTTTGCGATGTCATGTAGTTTAAATTGCACGTTTAGAATTATTTATGGTTGAGGTAACCACGGGTATTCGTATGTATGGTTGAAAACATTATTCGTTCTCCACGGAAGACCGGTAAGATAGATATTAAACCAATTCAAAAGTGGAATAATAGCGAGGACTATTCTTCAGCTCCAATATAAAATAAATAAACAAACAAAGATAATAAATACTTATTATAATCCTGCAGACATTAACGGCTCAATCCTACAAACGTTACTTTATATTATAAATTAAACCATGTTTTGAATATTGACTCTTTGGGAATCATTACTACTTTACTTTTATTGTTGAATTTGTTGAATCTCATGCCATGCTAATAATCTTAAAAATAACATATTTTAGGTTCAACATAAGGTATAAGTTTATAGAATTAAGCGTTTTTGAAAAATTATTTAATTTTGTAAAATCAAGCGTATAAATACTACTTCTACCTTTCAATTTATTATTTTTAGCAACCAATTTGTGAGATCGCACAATGGTTGAAGAGAGTAACGAAATATTCTCGCGTTTTAAAATCGTGAGCCTGACGGTGATACATAACGAGCATAATATCTGTTAGCGGTAAGCTAGAGCGGTTACACGATCCTATCAATTTAGCAACCAATTGAACAATGAATTAAAGTTTGATTGGTTGATGGTCAAAACATAGTTGAAGGGAAGGGAGCGAAAGCTATAGAATCCAATAGCTGGTGGACAAAAACATGAAAAGAAAGTCAAAGTCATTTGGTCAGCAAGTCTTGAGACAATGTCTTATTTGAGACCATCAATTTAAGGAAGAACGAGGAGTTTTAATTAGAGGGAGTAAATAACATGCAACTAAAAAGAATTAAGACCATGTCTTTTTCATTAGGGTTTTGTTTATTGCCAAGTAAACACATAAAAACAGTGATGTCCCGGACATGTTCGAGACAATCCAATTCCAAAAAAAAAAGGCATCCCCATTTAATATTAAATTCTAGACGTTTGAAGTTTCAAATGAAATTAAAGTTGAAGTCGTCTCTGTTTTGGTTCTAAACCCTAAAGACGGTAAGATATTGCTCATAACCTGTTTTGGATAAGAATCGTTTTGTTTTGACCCTAAGCCATATAGAGATATTGATCATCCAACTCATGCATCTTTATTCCGTCTCCAAAATTCATGTACCAACATAGGACCAAAATCAAAATTCTTATCCCTTTTGGAACCACGAAAATAAATATATAAGTGTACTCCATGTCTCATACACTAATCTCCGTCACTTCTAGTGCTTACCCACAAAATCATTGTTGATGCACAATCAACGTAGAATTTTACAAATCAATCACATGCAACATATCAAACTTGAATGTCCCTTCCCTCAGAAGCAAAACCCTAATTTGTTTTTAGCTTTTTGTTGACTAAAAGTTACTCGTTCAACCCTAACCAAAATGCCCTAAATCAGCTTAATCCAAAAAAAATTCTAGTTTAAATAAAGGGTATGTAAGCATACAGACTTTGAAACGAATTGGAAGCACGACTAAACTAAACTGGTTCAACTGAATCCAACTGATCGGTAATATTGAAAAAACTCATTGAACCAAAATATTGAAACGGTCCAACAAACCAACCATGGATCGAACCTGTTCCTTCTCGCACCGCCTGTATTCCTAACATGGTGTCATCACTTCTTCATGGCAATCTGTGGCAGAGAAGGATGGCGTTGCAACTCCACTTAATTACAACCACCATTCTAATTTTATTTAATCACGAGAGAAAGCTACATAATTTTGTCAAAAAGGGATGACCTTAGTTTCTAAAACCAAGAACAATCTAAGTGAGGGGAGATGATTTTTTATTTACAACATAAAAGATCATGAAGGATCATTAATCAATTGAAGCTTCTTCCTATCTTTGTATCCAAACAGATCAGTGGCATCCCCATCAAAATATGAGAGGCTTGACGGTGGCGACTCAGTTGTAGAACAAGGAGGTGGTTGGGAGATGGCGCTAAAGTTCATCATCAATGGGTTCCAATGATGAGTACCCACCGCCTTGTTTTCACCATAATTAAAAGGGCTGAAACTAATGTAATTGCTATCTCTATCACAACATTCATCATCCATGTCATCGCTATTATTCATTTCTCCAAATATGGAACCACCATTGCCTGCTGCAATCTCCCTCCAATTTGGTGCATATTTTGCACATGAAACGCTTCGTTTAAAGATTCGGCACAACGTCCAGATTTCCTGGAATTAAACAAACCAAATTTCACAACATAAATCTAAACAAAAAAAGAACAAATTAAATTAGGAGGAGTTTTGTTACAGCTTCTTGGACATTGTTTCTGATTGTTGGGAAGATGGAAGGTGTATGAGTATTAAGAGAGCGAGAAGGCAGGCGAAATTCATGCATCATCCACTCAGTTTTGGTGCCTCTTCCAGCATTTCCCTTGTAGTAAACGAGGGTTTTCTTGAGGCCAATGCACTCATTTCCTTGTCCTCCATGGGAGTAGATTGGTTTGTCGATGCCAGTGGCCTTCCAGAATCCTGACCCTGTAACCCTATTTGGTCTTATACTGTTCTTGTATTTTCTTCCTCTTTTGCAAAACAAATACCATTCTTTGTCTCCCAAGTTATTGCTCACATCTGCACAAACTTCCACACAATTTCCAGTTCATGAGTTTATTATTATTATTATTATTATTATTATTATAATTATTGTGCATATAGAGCCCAAGTTCAATGAATGAAGAGAAGATGACAAAAAAAGAAAGAACCCTATTAAATTAAGAGTTTTAACCCTATTAAATTAAGAGTTTTGTGTTAAAAAAATGCGAGTGGGACAACTCAAATGTTTCTTAATTTATCCGAAAACATAAAAAATTAAGGGGAAAAAGTAAGCAATCTATGAAACCTTGGAACAGATCCTATAACCTTAATTGCTGACCAAGACATCATCCAATCCATCAAAAATAAAAAAGTAGCCTATAAACTATAATGGTACATACTTATAAGTATAGGTAGATATTGTCTTCTTTAGATTTTTTCTTTTAGACTTTTCTTCAAAGTTTTTAAAACGCGTTAATTAAAAATAGATTTTTATACCATTTGTTTCTCTTTTCCGCTGATGTTAGATCTCACGAGGTCTTTACCCCAAGCCCATATCAAGAAGGAATGCAAGATCATCTTTTTTGAAATAAGTATATAATAGGAAAGTGAAAGTTGATTGATGATGAGAGAGTAATAGAATCATACTAGGAAGATCCCAAGGGTCATGCTTATAGATATCAACGGACTTGATAAGCTCCATGCCCATCGCCTTCTTATCAACCTTTCGTCGGAGGTAAAACCCAACGAGCTCGTCGTCGGTAGGGTGGAATCGAAACCCTGGAAGGGGGAACTGGTAGTCATCAATCTCAGGCTCACCAAACATGTTTGTCAACAATGGTGAAGAAGAGGGGGAAAAGGAAGAAGTGAGAGAGAGAGAGTAATTGGGAAGTTGGAAGTAGAAGAGGTTGAAATTTATAGGATCATGATGGAAGGTGAGGTGGGGTTTTAAAAAGTTGGGGTCTTTTTTATTTGAGTGCAAAACTTATAAACTAATACCAAAAACCCTCTGCCCACCATGTTCTTGAAAGACTCAATTCTTTACCCAAAAACAAAATGTTGAATGATTTGGAGTTTAGGAGTGGAAATCTATTAAGTTATGTATGGATTTGATACATTGTTTACTTTAAATTTTGTTTCTTTAAGGAAAGTGTCAAGATGTTTCCGTTTAATTTCTTCCTTTAGTAACCCTTAATCAATGAGTTCTTTTTTTTTTTTTTTTTTTTGTCAAAATTTCATTTTTTATCCATATATTTTAACATATATTTTAACATTTGCACTTTAGTTTATACATGAAGTAACGATTCAAAAATCTAGAAATAAGCGATCCATTAAATGAAGGGTGGGAATGAAAGAACTGATTACCCTACCTCTAAAAGTAAGAGAAAAGGAAAATCAATATGAAATAAAGAAGATGACCACTTACCATGGACATTGGCCAAGTATCCTACAAAGAGACTCTCCAGAGCTAGAAGGATTAAAGGAATGAACAATTTGTTGCTCTAGTGAGACTGATTAAGAAGTACTTGATATTAGTTTACTCATTGTCTATCCTATGCTCCCAGGTCACTACCGCTTCTAAGCACAGCAATCAACATTCTTAAAAAAAAGAAAAGGCAAAGTTCAGTATTTTGAGTGGTATGATTATCGGATCCTCTCTTCGTTCTATCCGCTGGCCCTCATATTCGGGTCTTCAAAGAAGAATTTGTCTCGGGCAACCGTATTCAGTAAGAGAGAGAGGAAGGTTAGTGGTTGACACTGCATTATCAATATTAACCGAATTTGTTCTAAGTGAAAAAGACAAAAACTCTTTTTTTAGGGTTTAGGGTTATATATATATTATATTAGAGTTTAGGGTTTATATTGTGACCTAAAAAAAAAAAAAAAAAACTATAATCCTTTAACTTTTTAACCACACTTTGTATCTTAATTTCTCTCATTTACCTATGGTCTCAATTCATAATAATATTGGTGATATTTGGATTCTCGATGTCCACTAGATTGTAATGTTACATTAAAAAAAAAAAAAAACAGAACTAAATATGTTTTTTAATGGCATAATAGCGCTGTCATTAACTTGAAATTCACATGTAAGAAAGCATAAAAAGGGAACAGACAAAGCAGCACTATTTAGGGTGCTCTCTTAGCTAACCAATGTTTTATATTTAGGATTAACAATAATGCATCTTTTTTTAAGCAATTCTTTTATTTTATAAACAATTTTTATTTTTGAATAAAGTCAAAATTATTATTTTCAATTAAAGGACAAGATGAGGAAATGTAGTGCCTTGTAGCCTTTAATACTTTCTTTTTTTTTAAGTAAAAAAAAAAAAAAAACAATGACCTAAATGGTATACATGTGATTTTGTTACGATCTTTTGTTTAAAAATACTATTTTATTCTTACCCTTTCTAGTTCATCTAGAAGCATTATCATCCACCTAAAAAACGACACCTTGGAAAAGACGAACTCAATTAGTTGCTATAGTCGGACTCGACAATTAACGAAGATGTCTAGGTGGAATGGTGACATAATGCTTTTGTGAGAGAGAGGTTCGGGATGAAGGAGAGAGAAACTACATGAGAAGGAAAATGTAATGCCACAAGCCCAAGATTTAGATAAAGATATAAATGTAATGTTACTGATGGCTTCGACATTCCCCTACAACATAGTTATGTTATTCATTTCTCACCTCTAAGAATAAAGACTATTAACACAAGCCAACACGAGTTCTTTCAATATGTTTTGTCCTCACTCCCATTTAGAACAGAATTCTAAAGAGGGAAGAGGACAACGCGTGGGCTCTTCAAAGATTAGAACAGAATTCAAAACTTTGAAATTAGGCGTTTGATATTTTAGGGTTTAGGGCGACATAGAATAAGAGATGGTGATCAGGTGATGTGTTAAAATTACTCGAACAGGATTGCCAACTCAAAGCTTCTAGAATGCCTTCAATTCAAATTGGAAATCAAGAATCTAGGGGAAAGGTGCCAGGTCATCACTTCATGTCAGCTACCTCTAACAAAAACATGACAACTCTTTTTGTCTCTTAATCATGTTTTTCCTCTTTGGCAACTCAAAAATAATTTTTGGTTAAAATTTAGTTCTAACCCTAACCCTAAAATCTATGGTTGCCAAACGTTCCAAGAGGGTCAGACAGAGGCTTGGTCAAACTCTTGATAGTTTAGTTGAGTCGAGGATATAGCCAAAGGTCAATCTTGAAGGTTCGATTCAAATGTGAATGTGGTCAACTTTAAATATAAAGTAATGCTCATCAATATGATAGCATAAGCCGTTGAATTATTATACAACGGAGGAGTTTCGAAGTTCTTAGAGAATACTTCTAACATGATACTCTCTATTTCATGTCTTCACTAAACCTAAAAATGACTAAAAAATCTTTACTAGCTATTCTCAAATTTAATTACTAAATATTGTTTATTCATTCCATTTTTTATGACTCAAATTGATGATTGACACACACATCTAAATAATAAATACTTTTAAAAACTTTAGAGAGTTAGAATATTATGATAGTAATATATTTAATAAAGTTTGATGCCTAAAACAAATATTATATTAGTTGAGAAATATAATATAATGATGCACCTTATTCATTAGACTTTCCATCATCTTTTCTCTCTCTTCTCGTCCTTTCTCCTCTTTCAACAATCACCATCACTATTGTCTCTTCTTATCAATTCTCATCGTCATTCCCTATCACCGCTAGATTGAGAAATCATTTGAGGATAGCAAAAATAACAGTAAAGAATTTTAAAACGAGAATTATTAAGTATTAACGATGTTGAATATCTCCTATGTTGTAGGAGTAAATGTTGAAGTCAAGCCACTAGTTAAAATAAAACCTGCCTCCGACACAACATCCCAAAAACAAAATTTTAGAGGTTAAAAGATAATTGATGTAGGAATTGAGGATCAATGATGCCTAGATTTTCTAGAAAGAAGAAACAGCAATGAAACTTCGTAGGGTTGGAATGCCAAAATCAGTCTTATTATACCCATCGCTCTCTCTCTCTCTTAGATTTCACAAAACAATATCTTGTTTGGCGTACGTGTAATTTCATACCACATTAAGATTCCCACTTGTTGTTGCCCTGTAAAGATTAACATTTAAATACTCATATCACTATTTTAATGATGGAGGATGACACAGGGGCGGCTAACTAATATAGATTTCAACGACCCCATGTGATGAGATGATCCAAAAATTGAGCAGCAGCCTCTTAACATTCAATGAACCCAGGTTTTTTAATTCCTAATTTAATTGAAAGAGAGTTAAATAATGGTTTGAGATTCTAGACTTTTCAAATCTGTGTACTAAGAAATAATGACTTCGCATTAGAATAATGGAATTTGATGCTCCAAGAATGACATCAATGTTATCTCAGGAGATATTTTAGATAGCGACCCACTTGGTTTATGTTTCTGCTTTTTTTATTTGCTTCTGTAAGAGAAGTGATTTTGAAGGCAAATAAATGATAACCAATGGCTGAGGATTGATTGTAAAGTTTTCTAATAATTTACATTATCAAAATTAAACAATTCGCCAACATTTTCGTATACTTTTGTGAATTCAAACCTTTAATAAAACATAAAATAGTAATAAATACATTGTTTAAGAAAGGCTTACATCGTCATCCTTATTCTTGAAGTTCAGCGTCAGAACTTGTGATGGAAGGCGAGCAGGCCATCTTCCTCTAATAGAAATTAAAAGAGGAATGTTGAATACCAATATTTGTAGAGAAATGTCCATCTTTTATGACCATCAAATTGGTGTCTTTTTTAATACTAAGGGAGTTGTTCCGTCTCCAAGATAACTGCATTATTTTTTAGGATTTCTCTACACCTGAATACTTCAACTAATCTTCAGCCATGCTTAGCGAGAAGACTTCCCTACTTGACACACTACCATGTCGGCATGTATACGACGTGTGTCTCCAAGCTGCTTAGAATCTGGGATTATACTTTCTCCCACCTGAAGCCACGAGTTATTGCTGTTTCCTTCTTCGGCCTCACATTCATATCTCAGCAGTATCCCAAATAAAATCTTCCCCTGCTTCAATGGAAAAACTTAACCTCGTGTTGTCGATTTTAACTTGTACAATGAACCAGGAAGGAAAAAAAATTAAAAAAAATCCTAACCTTCACCCTCCGATAAGATGCTAAAGTAGATAAAGGTTCATTTGTCTTCAGGACCTGTTCAGCGTCGGTTGCAAAATTGATCATCTGGCAACGGTTGCATCCACCTAAAGACTGGAAATGTAAACAGACACTTTATAAACAGGGTGAAATGAAATGATCATATATGGTAAATCACCAATCAACGGGCTTGAAATTTTGGTGAAAATCAATATTAATTGGAGAGAAAATGACAATATAGGGCTTCAAATTTAAGATCTCCATTCATGTTAAATCTTTTGAGTTGAATCAACTCAAAAGAATAAGCCGAAGGATTATGATGAATTTAATTATATAATTGTTAAAATATCGAATAAAGATTTAATTTATTGAAACTCATCCAGATCTCCAGCTCTAATACCATGTTAAATCACTCATCAACCCAAGTGAAAGTGAAAAGGAGTGTTAAAATTGATAACTTCTTGTTGGCCATTCAAATTACCAAACCCACAAGTGAGGAGGATTAAAATATTTATATAAGATTATATTTACTAAAACCCATCAGCCCAAAGGGGTATTTAATAGTAGCATAGTAGGCTTAAAAGATAAAAAGTGGGTTGGTTTGAATTTAAAAATGAAAACAAATCTGACCACTTATAAAAAGATTTGCAGCAAGTAAAAGATTGACTGCCAAGGTTCGGGGTTAATGTCAGTAGCATTCTACTAGTTTCCATACAAACGTTTCGAAGAGAAGGAACTTACTCTGAAGGACTTGTTGCCAATTTTAATATTTATCCACTCATCTTCAGCGTAAGGTCTGCCACCAGATATGACAAGATTTGGCCGGAACCTCATAGGATTAACTTGAACTGATGTTCTACGAACGTCCTTTCCAACATCTGCTACAGACAATGCAACTTAAGATCACCAAAATTGGAATCTAGTGAAGCTAGGTCTACATCTAAATAACATTCAACTGATTCAAAATCTTCAACAGTATTAAACTGGCATACCACTTTAACAAGGACAGAACAGATAATTATCAATAACTAGAAAAGATTCATGGTAGTTGCAAGTATAAAATTATAAATAACATACTTGAATTCAATCTGTTATTGAGGTCTGATACACTCTCCTCGGATATCAACAAGAACTGTGCTTCATTGGAAAAATTCAAGCAAGTTCGTGATTCTCGACAGGTACCAACACTGTCTCTTTCATCCAAGCTGACACAATGACTGGAACTTAAATGGCGCAACAAAGTACATGGTCGACCAATAGCAGCACTAAACCAAGTATCAACTTCCTTGTCATAACCCTGGACTTGATATCTAAACATTAGAGTGAATTAATTCCAACCTCAGAAGTTCAGAAAATAAACATGGACTTGTATATGCAGCAACTTCTAAAATTTTCCAACAGTCTCCCCTAATGTAGGGCCATACAATTTATAATCCTACAACATGGTATTACTCACATCTGACCACGCAAACTTATTTCTTCTCTCTTTCCATTGCTAGAATTTGAATTCAAGATGATCTGCAGTCCCTCTTTGCAACGTGGGGAGTTGATAAACAATATTCCCTGACTGAGGTCGATATAAGTATGTATAAGACACATTTCCGGAACCTAAGAACAATATCAGATGAATTAAAAGTCAATTATAAATATTTGAACAAGAATGAAGATCTATTATCTATGCAGTGTCAGAATTTCTCAAAACAAAGTTAAAAGAGGGAGCGTGAAACCCTTAACAATGTGCTTGAGATTCAAGTAGAAGTAACGAGGACACAGGTTCTCTAGATCTAGCATGTCAAATAAAATCACTTCCAGTGTCCCGTGACATACTTTTCAGTCATAATTGATTGAATTAGAAGTAATCCCCATGACTGTATCAAATCATAGATCGAGTTACATGGCGAACGATGATCTTCCTCTTCTCCATTTTAGGGAACGTTGCTTAATCCTTGAACTGTTTAAATTCTAGAACTTGTACTATTGGTCAAATCGACTTTTTTATTACACTTCAAGTACTTGTAGCTCAAAATGTGTGTCAATGTAGGAAGATCAGACCTATGGCGTACTTTTCTATGCCACTAGTAAGAAATTAGTTAGTTTCTCTCATTTTGCTTGGGGTCATTCCGGGAGGTGATACTACTAGTTAATTCAAATTATGCAAATCCCCAAGTTCAAGGGTAAAGCAGGGGCTATTTGGATAAGTTTAAAAATGCCTCAACTCTTTTTGGCAATTTGGAAGGAGCCGCAAGTGTTTGGAGCTGAATTCACTTCAATAAATACCCATTTCATGCAATCTCCATTTGATTAGCCATCAAAAACAAATTTAAGTCTTTTTCCCTCCATATTAGCATGCCTGCCCCTCCCTACCCCATAATAATAAGATTTTCCTTACGAGCATATTTTCTGTATATTAATTGTAACTACCTCAAGAAACGGTAGAGCTTGACTATAACTAATATGATATATTCTAAAATGCTTGAGGGATAAACTGACTAATCCAGTGGGGTGGTGCAGTGAACGCTATATTTAGTCCTTAGTTTAAATAGTAAGAAGATAGCACAGAAAAAAAGGTCATTAACCATATGATGTTGGAGAACAGTTCAATCAAAAACCATTCAAAAGCCTTGTAACAGTAACATTTTAAGCAGAACGTCAAAACTTAAACAGAAATAAGAGTAAGACCTACGGAGCTGGGGGCTTGACTGAGATTTGCAAATATTTGAGCAAACAAATGCTGTTTTTTGCTCTCCATCAACATTCTCGTGATGGTGAGGTGTTCATACGTGTTAAAAAATACATGTAAGAAGTTTATGAAGAAGAATAGCTCACCTTCTTCTGTGTAAGAGTTTCACCAGTCAGGCTTTGAAGTAGCCACTCCCGATCATAAAGAAGCCCTACTCAAATCAAAGAGAGAATTTAAAAAATATTGCTAAATTAGGAAAAAGATCAACAGAACCATCATGAAAATTAAGACCATCTGTAACAGGTCAAAACAATAAACACCCCCCCCTCCC